ATTCTGGGATATGTTGGGCCACGAAGTGTACACCGCCACATCCTTAAAATTCAGGGAAATGAAGGACGCATTTGAGGGCCGCATTTCGAGCAGCCTTCGTCGCTGTGACGTAATCGGCCTTAAAATGCGGCCTTTAAGGCTGCAGACCCTGAATTGGGATACAGCCACAACCTCAGAAGGATCTCGATCACAGTTCCATCTAGTTTAGGGAGAGGGTCTCTGCAAATATGCGCACTTACTCTCACTGGACACCTCACTAGCACCAGATTGACGCTTCAGAGCTGATCATTGTGACATCATCGCACAGCTGACGACCACCGCGAACCAGGCAGGATGGATCCAGACATGGTCAGGGGAAAATCCCAGCAGATCCTAAAACAATGCTCAGTTTGAAGTTAAGCGGCTCATCATCAAGAGCACTGAGCTGCTGCGATTGGCTGATTAAATATGAGTTAAAATGGAAACAATTAAAATGAAGGCAGTGCAAATAAAACACAAATGTGTGACTGCTGCGGGACAGAGGTGACTGGGTGGTGTGAACTCTTTCCCTGCTCTATCATACACACCATCTCCATACCCACCTCCACCTCTGACCCAACCACCCTACAAGCACTCTGATTGTGTTTGACACTATTGTTTATAAAAGATTGTGTTGTATATAAGACTTAAGTGTCACACTGAGGGGTGTGGGAGAACTGCAATTTCAAATTCCTGTGTATGATCTGTACACGTGGTTTTTGACAATAAAACTAACTTTGAAGTATGAAAAACATCTGAATGTTTTGTGTTAACGGTTTTATTTAAACTACACACGCTAAGAGCATCACAGGTACATTTCACAGGCCCGGTGTCCTGAAAGCTTTGGAAAGATAAAAGAATGAAAAGTGTTTTATTATTATTGTAACTGAGTGAAGTTTAAATTTATCTCATAGATGACGACACACTGCTCTCCCCTACATGAGTATCGATACCAGTACCAGCAGTATTGACCTTCTACTTACTTGGCCTTGGATTAATACCATAAGTATTGCAGTATTGTGCAGCAGTACCTGAAACCACAAACAGAAAACCTGCTTGCTGACTTTCCCTGAAAACTGATGAACATTCAATTAATTCAAGCATCAGACTTTAACATTTAGACTTTATTAAAAATGATTTTCCAAACGAGGAAAAAACATGAAAAGAGATCTTTGTGAATACGTTAGTGTTGGAGCGCCGTGGGTGGGCGCACAGCTTCACTCTCACACACAGGCTCAGAATGGCGAGCGATGGAGGTCAAAGTTTAACTCTGGGCTTCATGTAGTGTTTCCTGCAGCCGCTCCACCTGCTTGGAGCCGCCGAGGATTCAACCTTCTGCTCGCAGCTGAGCTGACAGGCCCGTTTACAGCCTGTGACCATGCCTGCGGTCTGTGTGGAGACACCACGCTGAGGCACGAGAGACGGTTTCTGTTAAATGAGGAAGGATCTGCATAAAAATGAGGTAAAAATGAAGGTATAAAATAAAAGCACTGACTCAGCATCTGTAGAAAAATAGGACAAACCCGTGACGGGTTCTGTTTCTGCAGCTCAACCCAAAAAAAGAAACCGACTCGTTTCAAATATGGCGCTTGCCTCCAGCTTCCGACAGCCGCGTCACGCTGCTGGTGCTTTGGTCCTGGAGATGATGTCACTGTTTTGGCCATGTTTGCGGACACTCGAGCTTTAGTGGTTCGTGGGCAGCAAACGGGACACGAAAACTGAGTGACAGTGTGCACGCAGCTCAACTCAGACCGCCGACTAATATCATTACTGCAATAAACCAAAAGCAGACATCTGAAGGTCAGAACGTCGACTCAAGACCACACGCACATTCACCAGAGGTTGCATTTGAACGTTGTAACTGAACCTGATCGACACTGAAGCATTCGCAGTGAAGTCGCTCTCCAAGATGGTTTAATCCTCAAAGCGAACCTCTTGGCTGCTCGTAGTGACACAAGTGGAGATGCCGTAAGAGAGGCGGTTAGATCATGTGGAAGCAGCACAGATGTTGTCTTTTACCCTGTTTCTACACCCGAACGCGTCAGTCGAGCTCTGAACACGTTTTCCTGATTTTCAGATCACAGCTGAGGTTTAAACTCCACCCCATGACAGCAACTTTGCGTGATTCTCAGCTCCAACAGCCCTTCCACCTGAAACAAGCTGTTTACCACTGCTCCTGGTTATCGTCTTCTGATTAGCTGCCCCTCTAGCTGTTCCAAACAGCTTGTAGGCGGGGTTTCTATTCTCTCTCTGTGACTTCAGAGGGCCAAAGGTATACAAAAAAAAACAAAACAAAAACTGAGTGTTCAGAGGAGTTGGAGCTCAACTGACGCGATCATCGAGCACGAAGTGCAGGTACACGACAGGAAGTAAGGAGAAGAGCACGCCCACTTTTTATTCTATTTTTTTTTGGGCTGAGCAGCAAGAATTGCACCTCGTAACAAAAACTGCAGCTCGCTTTCACAATTAAAGTTTGTGATATAATAAAGGCTCATCATGATGATTGAAGACCTCAGTCCAGTGTCTGTCGCACCATGGAATGTGTTTCTATTGTTTCTAACTGTTTCTGGAAGCTAAAGCGTGTGGAGTGTTTCTGCACACAGAAGGCATTCGTGTTTTCAGAAAGGTAGACAAAGAGTTGCAGCACCTCGGTGTGAAGGCAGAGACAAGGAGACGTGCAGCGCTGACGGGCGGGAGTCACGTGATATTTACATGCCCGTGTGCACACAATACACTAGGGTCCCCCCCAGCGCCTCCCACCCCGAGCGTCCCTTCAGAAATCCTGTCCTCTTCTTGGCGACCTGCTCATTAGCTGTGAAATCACTGACCGTTCTCAGGACCAACATGGGTGAAGACAAACATCGTCACATGATGGGAAGACAGCGCTGGGTGTGTATGTTTCTGCACGTGCGCTCCAAGAGATGCTGGGGCCGGAAACATGGTCGGTATGTTAGGACTTAGCGAGCCGATCGCCTTCACCGTGCGTCCTCGTGCGGACCGTCAGCCCCGCAGTTTGCACAGCCGTCACCTCTGCATGGCGTGCCTGGAGCCCGGTGCCTGTTTCCCTTTCCTCGGAATGTCCGGCAGCCCGAGTGGCCGCCTGCACTGACCTTTGGCCTCTGGCTCAGAGTCGCTGAGCTCAGCGTCGGGGCAGTACCCGTCGCTGTCCTGATACGATCGCGCACTCTTCAAGCGGTGCTCCGGTGCTGGTTTGGCCCACAGCCTCTCCTTGGCACCGCTCTTCCGGGACAGTTTGTCTGCCCGCAGGTCCTCGGTGGTCCGGACCAGGTTGATTGTGGCCTGTTTGAAGGAGTGGCCAAAGTGCTCCATGGCGGACTTGCGAAAGACGCTCTTCTCGTTTGCAGTGTTGCGGTCAGCGGGCGTCTGGCACGAGCCGTCCCTCTGAGCAGCGCCCTTCTCCAGCACGCCATTAGATTTGGCCAGGCGTGCTCGGTCTCGCTCCAGTCTGCCATTGCTGTTGGAAGGCTGTCCGTGAAGTGCGCTGTGCAGCGTCAGAGGTTTCCCGCTTGGTTTAACGTGCTGCGGTGCACCGCTGGTGGAAGACGTTCGGCTGGTGGAGCGCTCGTCTCTGATGCTGCGGCCGTGCAGCTGAGGCTTCCCCTGGCCCACCCCCTCACCGACGTGCTCACCCACGTTCCCGCTGTTGTCTGGGCACAGCGGTCCGTTCCCAACACCCAGAGCTTTGGGCATCTTCAGCTTCAGAGTGATCCTCGGAGGAGGCCGGGACAGCACACTCTCCAAGGGGAACGAAGCAGGAAGACCTGCAGAGAAAACACATGTTCAGTCCCTTTTTCTCTTTTCCATAATCACATCACAGACAGCTTAAGAGTCCTCACAAACTGTTTTATCCTTTACTTCACCATAATAATAAAAAAAAAGAAAGAATCATAAATCCATCATAAATCCTGCTGATCCCAAGTTATTGTGTTACAGGCATTACATATATTAATTTACATAATTATTCAAAACTCAAACCAGATCATTTTACAGTGTGAACTTTGACCCCATTTCTGATTAGTCACTTTAAAATCTGGGCTGATTTAAAAGGATCCAAATCATTAAATTAATTTATGATTCTGACAGGACGTTCTTCTTATCACATACCGAGTGTTGGTTTCTACCTGCTCATTAACAGGTAAAATACACAGAAACTTTTCATAGGGGTCAAAAATCACCAATTTCTCACTGGAAAGCTTTGACATCCTATGTGGGATGATCCCTCTGAACTGAGCCGAGTCTGAGCTTTGCTTTGTATTTTTCTGTGTCACATGACCTGCTCTGAGGTCAGCTGATACAAAGAGCAAGTCACGGAGCTGGTGCTGCTTCTCACTGTGAACTCACCTGCAGAAATCTCCTGGTTCGTGAGCTTCACATGCAAGTTGAACATTTGCTCCTGAGCTTTGCTCTGCAGCAGCTTCAGCTTCTCCCGCCGACTCACCATGTAACACAGGTTCCTCACCTGCAGCCAGATACACACAACTTTATTAAAGACAGTATAGATGGGATCTGATTGGCTGACAGCAGGTTCACTCCTCAGAGTTTCTATAAATGCTACTGAATGAACATTGGTTGCTCTGACACCGAGTACATGCTCTGATCTTTTAGGCTAAAGCTAAAAAACCACATCACCACTAACACAAGCTGCACGGACACGGACACGGACACGGACACACACACACACACACACACACACACACACACACACGAAGCACCCACCCTTTCTAGGTCCTGCCTCAGGTGCATGAACATGCGCATCCGGGTGTGGATGCTGTCCTCCTGCGGCTGGAGCACCAGCTGCTCCTCCTCCTCTTTAGGGGGCAGCAGAGCCCTGTTGAAGCTGCTCTTCCTTTTCAGCTTCCAGTACTGGTAGATGAAGTCCACCAGGTGCGGGGACAGCCCAAGGTCCCGGGCCAGCTGCTCGGGCTCGATCAGGGTGTAGAACTCCTCCTCCAGCTCCTGCAGCCGCTGAGCTCGCTGGCCCCCCTTTCCCGCCTCTCCAGGGGCTTTGGATCGAGCCGGGCTCAAGCCGGCCTCTCCGGCTTTGGGCTGGCTGTGTTTTAGGCAGTACGACTTGAACTTGACTTCATCCCCTTCATCCAGGATCGTCTTCATCTCCAGGCTGTGCTGGAACGCACAGGTCACGTGGAAGGGGGTGGTGCAGTTCTTTACTGAACACTGAACAGGGGGAGAGAGCGGATCGAGTTACTTGAGGGAAAAGCCAGCTTACGTCCAGCTCCAGTGCAGACTTCTTGCTGCAGACGCTTCGAGGATCATAAAATCAAACTTGAATGTCTGCAGACATGCAATCAGTCTAAAGTAATCTCTATGGCATGAAACGGAAGGAATAACTCACCTGGATGCACGCACCTGTCTTCAGCTTGCACAGACTGCAGATCAGAGACCAGCGACTGGGGGGGATGTGGGAGACTTTGGTGATGGGCTCCATCCTCTCTGGACAGGCGATGCTCACCTGCAGGACCACACATTTTCACTGTCACTATCATTTCTGCACATGTGCTCCTTTATTAAAGGTCTATAGACCAAAGCAGTAAATATTTTCATCTCAGTCTCTGATACAAAAAAACAAAAACAAAACATTATTTGTCACCGTTTGTGTTGTTGCACCCGCTTCCCCTCATCCCGGATTCACTTACCTCAGGGATCCACAGAGCGCAACTCACATGAGCCCACCTTGTGCCGGCTCGTGTCGCCTTCATGGCCCCGCCTTTCTGGGGACACAGGAGGCACTGCGGGTCAATACCGAGGACGCATGTCCGGCACAGCCAGTTACCAATGGGCACCTTAACAATGCCGTAGCACGCCTGCGGAAAGAACAGCGGGATGCAAGTGATGTGTAACCAGAACATCAACAGAAACAACACAAAAACACAAGTGTGCTGCCCGGGGTTCCGACACACGCTCCGGTCACAAGGTCAGGGCTAGCAAAAGCAGAAAGGCGTTTCCTACCTGGTGCACACAGATGTTGCACTTGTCACAGAACACCATGTCGTTGCCCTCCTCGCTGTCCGGAGAGCGGCACACATCGCAGATGACGTCTTCATCATATTCAATCCCCAGACCCTCCACTGTCTCGATGGCGTGCTTCATGTTGTCGTGGCACTGCCTCTCCAGCGCCTCCATCGCTCGCTCCATCATTAGTTCGTCCAACGGCTCTTCACCTGCAGGACCAAACAGCAACACCCCATGTGATCAGACACTCCCGAGAACAAGAACAGAGGTGTCTGAAGTATTCAAAGTGTGGACTGTGCCCCCCCAGTGGGCAGCACCGGTGCTGCAGATGGCCCTCATTTATAATAAACAGGAAGTTTTAACTTTGAAAAACAGCCAAATATTAAAATACATGTAAAAAGCCTCAAATACAAAGCCAACAGAAGACAAAAACAAATGTGCAGAAACAGAAAAAAGGAAGATGCAGCGTCACTAAGCATCACGCTGGATCATCGGGCCCGTCTTACCCATGCGTTCAAGCTCGTGGTTGAGCGCGTGCAGCCAGTAGAGGTCCATGTCATCCAGGTCGTAGCGGCACATGGCCTCCGCCAGCTCTTTGATGCTCACGAAACCCGGCTCCTTGGACTCCTGGCTCCAGCACTGGATGTACTTCTTCTGGTGGGTGTACAGCGTTTCCTTCTGCTTCTCCGCGATTACTCTGAAAAGAAACAGCAGAGAGCCGTTAGACTGAATAGCTGAACCAACCAGAACCTGCTTCAAAGAGAGTCAACAAACACATTTAAAGGTCAAAGCTGTAATGATTGCGATATCTCCTCCTGCTGTGATTGAGAGAGCGAGGCGATCAGCTGACGCCGAACGCATTTGCTCTCCTGTTTGCACTTTCAGACTGGTCTGTGGTCATGTTGAAGCCATGGCACAGATTCTTTCTCCTCCTCCTCCAGGAGACGCAGGAGCATTACCGATCCAGCTGACAGGTGAATTCCCCCCCCAGGGCTCCTACCACTGGGTCATGAGATACCTGAGCCAGTTCCCGTTGGGGTGGAGCTCCTCCAGAGCGTTCAGTCTCTGAGGCTGTGTCTGACGTGGTCATGTGCTCAGCTACGGCTGACTCGTGTAAACTTGTCACTTGAGTACGCTGATCAGCGTACTCAAGTACCTGTATGAAGAGGAGGTGGCAAACTAAGACGTTTGGGAGGCGGTCGGACTCACCTGACGGACGGCTCTGGGATGGTGTCTGGGCTCGCTGGTACCTGCACTCCTTTCTCCCACTCCTGCTTCCAGGTGTCTGCCAGCAGGTAGCAGTCCTCTGGGGAGATGTGGTGGGAGTCAGGCAGCTTCATTGCACTGATCAGGTCTTTCCTGAACACCTGTGGGGGAGAGAGACGCACACAGGTAGTCAAACGCCATCCTGACATTTACTGACGCTCAGCAAAGTCTGATACGCACCTCAGCTGGCTTCTTCGGGTTGGATGCAGGCGTTCCAGGTTTGCTCCCATATTTGTTGGAGGAGCAGAACGAGGTCGATGGACCTGAAAGAAGAAAGAGGCAAACAAAAAGAAATGAAGGAGACAGTTTGGTCTGGGTTACAGGTCACGCTGCCATGCCGCGACCGTTTTTGGACCCCAAGCCTGAGACGTGTGGTCAGCCTGAGAGTGGTGTACCTGTGTCCGTCTGTTCTCACATCCAAAACACCAGGAGGCAGCACAGTTTCTCTCTGTGACCGACACTCTTCAGTCGATTGAAACTTGCCATCACTAGAGGGCGACGTTAGGCTGAGGTGTGGCATCAGATTTTGATGTTAATTTTTTTGGTTGTTTTTTTTATCAGAAAGGTTAAATAAGAATCTTTTTGGTCTTGGTCAATTCTTTAAACATGTTAAGACAATGTCTCCACAGAACCACGAACAGCATCCATGTGACGTGTTCAGGGAGACGCACGTCAGGCACATTTACAGGTGTGACGCACCAATAGCATAAATCTGAAATGCTCGAAGAGCGTTTTCACATTTTAAAACTGGAACATGCTTATTATTTTCCAGTTTTAATGATGCTGCCGTCTCACACTGATTATTCAAATGGGATCCTTTTGATTCTTTTGCACAAACAGGCAAGACTGCACACAGATCACTTTCTTCTGTTGTTACAGAAATAGTTACAGAGCAGTCACAGGTTAGAAATGATGATGACGCTGGAAACGAAGTGGCAAGCTTGACTCACTCTCATTGTCAGAAGTGTCACTGCTGCTGGAGGACCGGAGGCGTTTCATCCTGTATCATCCTGCAGCAGCAAAAAAAGATGACGACATTCAAATATTGATGATTTTTAAGGCCAACGCAACAGAAGTTTGTGGACACAAAGAAGAAATTTGTACTCACCGTAAACTTCAAATTGAAAAGCATGCTAGTAGATTCTTCTGTCAGACCGCTTCAGTTCATATCTGCAAACCACAAGTAAATAAAGACATTTATAAAATTACTCAACTATTACATGTTATTATATCTCTGCTGTAACTTTCTAATTCACTTGCTTTTAACGCGTCATCATCACATATGATCACTTTTGTTTTATTACTTTGTGTTGCATCTCTATCTGTGAAGGACGGAGCAGCACTCACCCGCCTCACAGGTGTCATACAGACACAGGTGTAGTGACTCATCACACACAACAGTCTTTGTTGTGTGTGATGTTGGTTTTTATAACTTTTAAAGCATATCTGTGTCAATAAACAGGAGGTGGAAGAGGCCAGAGCGACACCAGTCCTAGATACAGAACGCTGTTTCAACAGGGGGCACAAGCCTGACATTCCCCATAAAGACACAAGGAAGAGGAGGAGCCAGGAGCCCCTCTCCTTGCCATATCATAGTGGCGTACACGTCACGTGAAAAGCTCAAGTCAACTTACAGTGTTGGAAGCTGTTGGTAAATATAACGGCAGGTTCTCCCTGATAAACAAAAATCATATTTTCACTCCATGTTTGTGCTTTTCCACTTGACTTTTCAGTAACCTTAAGCACCAGAAGCTGCAGTTCCTTTATTTTCCAGCAGAGGCAGCAGTGAGTTAGTTCTCATAGACTCCCTCATGGACTCGAGGACCACAGTATTGTTTCTGTGTTGCCTATTTCCTCGTCGCCAGGTTTTTAAAATAGTGGCTCATGAAGGAGACACTCTCATGACTCCTCAAGTGACGCCATTGACTAGTCAATCGGTATCATGCAGTCTGTTGACATCACATTTTCAGATCGCTTGGAACACGGTGGAATATGTTCAAAAAAGTACCGGGTACTATAACCTATCCCTAACAGAGAACCCTAAAAATCGCGACGAGCCTACCCGGGTAGGTACTAATACTAAACAGTGGGCTCACTTCTGCCCCCAAATAAAACCAGTATGGCAGCAGCTACCACTTCAATGCTGAGGGTTCCACGCTGACGATGAGTACTCCCTCCATCTTTCATGTACAGTGTGTGGAGGCTGTTCAAACAGGTTCATATATGTAAGATCTCATTACTCCACAGCAAGGTGTGGCAGGTGTTCTCCACCTGACATCTAACCTGTGGAGGGAGGGCGTACGGATATGACGTCAGGTTGTTTAAAAAGCTCATCTGACAGGAAACGATGAGAAAAGGCTAACACACTGTTTACTTCCCTCCCTCCTCCTGTTTTGTGCCGTTTCTTGGCTCACCTGAAAGAAAGCCTCACACACCTGTGTAAAGTGTTGGCGCCAAACTGTAAGGCCTGCCCGCGGGCTGGGAAATCAAACATAGGCGCCTCCATCACTCAAACATGTCACTTCCTCGGAGGCTCTGAGGCGGGCATCTGTGCTGCTCCGCTGGGTTCATACCCCGGGAGCCTACCAGCCGCTCGTGGTACCGGGGTAAAGAGGCAGGACGGCCCCAGAGAGAGCGCAGGCCCCGGGCCTGAAGGGACAGTCCAGGGCAGAGCCTAGAGCTCAGGCTCAGCTCGCCACCATATTGTTCACATTTTCCCGCTCATACCTGCAGTCCCGCCGCTGCCGCCCGCGTTATTCTGCTCACACGGTCCTCACACGGCCTCGGCCTGGGCTCTGGTTCCGGACTCGGTACTTCTGTCCCCGCAGCTCAACGGGAGGATCCAGCTCTGCTGCCCGGACACCAACACGCCACAACGGCCCTATTGTACAGCGCAGCCCACCGGGTCCTAAACCCTGCCGTCGCAGTCACCCTCCGCCTTCCTCGGAGTGGTGCTAACGCTGCATTACCGCCCCAAGCGGTGGGAGTGTGAACCCCAGGCAGATTTTTGTTCGGTAAAACGAGACTTTTGGAAAATGAAAAAGTCCGTTTGTAGCAGGGGCGGATCTAGAGGGGTGGCATTAGCTGGCATGGGGTGCCACTCTAAAATGATCTCTTGTCACCCCTAGTGCCACCCTAGCTTTGCATGTGACAGTGTTGCTTTTAAGTAAAAATAAGGTAGCCTTAACACTTTGAGCCCAGCAACAATTAAAAATGAACATAAATCTTAAAACTGAATATATTGCATACACACACCGTTAACAAATGGTTTTACCCATGGCGCAGACCGGCTGTATTTCTTGTTTTCACTAGTTTTCAGTAGATTTTGTAAACTTTATTGTTTATAAAATTTGTGCATACGTTTTCAAACTTTACAATTATTATTTGAATTTAAAGTTATAAAATAATTTACTAAACGTGTCTGTTGTTTTTACAGTAAAAAA